CTTGTACCGAGAATGAAAGAAATGAGAAGGACAAGGGGTTTTGTCTGGAGCCTGCCTCTGGAACTGCTCTGTTGGGGTGAGGCGTGCGTGATGGGCAGAGCAGGGGAAATAAGAGCCAGTGATGACTTGGCCTGTAATGGTTATATCTGAAAGCGAAACAGCAGGTGTGGATGTTAGAGTGAAAAATAAAATTGTATTTCCTGGTTGGCATGCTTGAGAGGAGAACCGTGCAGCTCTGAGAGCTCGGTGGGAGCCGTCGGGCTGTAGGCAGGTGCCCGTCCCCGTGAGGACGGGTCTCCTCTGGCCAACGCAGGATCCTGCTGAGATGTCCTACAGCAGCCGTTGTGGCTGCAGCTTGTCTCCTGTTCGTCTCTGCTTGGGAGAGCTGCAAGTTAGTGACTGAAATTGTGTGGGCTTTCTCCCTTTTTCTTCTTAAGCTGTTGAATTATTTTTCCCTGAAAAGTGAATTTCATCATACAGAGGAAGAGAAGTGGAGGTATGGGGAAGGGGGACGTAGCTCTTCGTGATGACTGGGAGAACTACAGTAGCTTGTCACGCGTGGTTTGGTAGTTTTGTGGGGTGGGGTGTGGGATACGAGGGTTGCCTGCAGAGCAGCCTGCAGCTCCCGTGGGATCAGCGCGCGCTGCTGTGCGTTTGCAGGTCAGACGGCAGCGCTTGCAGTGCTCCGTCCCACAGCAAGCCGTCTGCCTGCCAGTCTGAAGCGCAGCCTGCAGCTGAGCAGCTAGGCGTGTCCCGGGGAGCCGTCGATGCCTGTCGAAGCTTTGTAGAGGTTGCAGCCTTGGACTGCTTGCTCTCTCGCCCCTGTCAGACCTTTCCTGTTTGCTGGGCAGGCGTGAACCAGGGGAGCTTCCTGCCTTTGCTTTCTTGTCACGGGCGTCGTGCAGCCAGGTGCTGAAGCGTGATCTGGCTTGGGATCAGCTTTGATGGACTGCAGCGAGGATGTGCTGCTCCCCGTCACCCTGGAAAGCTGCAGAGGGGGAGCGTGGACGCTGCCAGAGCCTCCCGGACCTCGCTCTGCACATCACGCCGTTCCCGACCCGATCTCGTCACAGTTTGTCGCAGCAGCTGAATGCAGTGTTTTTTTTTTTTTTTAATTCCAGCCATCCTGGGTAGTCAGGTGCTGGTTTGTAATAAATACAGCCTGCACGTTTTGGGTGAGAATCTCTTGCACGGGACTTCTCTAAAGAGAGTGCTTGTTTTCTTCCAGGCTCTCTGCAATGCCCTGTTTCTCGCTGGCCAGCACTTGGCAGCTGCGCTCCCGCACCCTCGTGCCTCGCTTTGCAGGTAGAACGGAGCGTTGCTGAGGGATGTGCTGGCAGGTTAGTCAGACCGTAACGTTGGTTGATGCAATAGCTCGTACTTCTTGCGGGGTAGTTGCCCAACCGCTGTTTGATACCGCTCACAGCCCTGCGAGGCTTACGTGGATCGTTGCTCGTTCCAAGAGCACCATTAGCGACCTGCTCCGTAGTCCAGGGCTGGTGCCTGCTTTGCATCTGATGGAGCAGGCTTGCAGACATGGTTTGGGTATGTTGCATCGCTTACCGCAGACCTTGGCAGTAAGTGCTCTTGGCGGGGTCTTCAGGTCCCCTTGCAGGTTGCGTTTCACGGCTTCGTGCCTTGTGGGTTAATACTGTTTTGCAGGAAGCCACCTCAGTAACTATGGTCAGTGTTTTGTAGCATAAAGTACCTGATGATGCTTTAGAACAGCTAAACTTTTTAAATATTTTCCACTTTGAGATACTGAGCAGCTCTTGGAAGCCTCTGCTAATGACACTTCAAAGCAACGCTGAAGTTGAGGTCCATCTCCCTGCACCTGGGATGAGCTGTCAAAACATTTCCATGTTTGAAATGATCCCCCCGCTCTCTCCTGGCAGAGCTAGACAGCCCCCCAGCCTCCGTGCTGGAAGCCAGGGGTGAAGGAAGGCTGAAGCACCTCTTGCTCATGTGTTGAGGGCTTGTGAGCTTCGCGTTCCCCTGTATTCTGTCATACCGAATTTTCGAGGTTCAGGGGTGTGGGAGTCGTGTCTGAGCCTGCAGGAGAACTGATTTCTTGAGACTGAGTGTTCAGGTTGTAACCGTGTTGCTTGGTGAAACACCCTCCCGTGCTTTCAGTAACCTTCACTGTTGAGAGCAGAGGGCTTCAAGCGTGAGTGTTGGAAAAGGACTTGTTCCAAACAAGATCCTTTGCCTAAAAAACACAGGAAAATTCACTTCTCCTTCGACTGTCCTCACTCCGTCATCGCAGCAGGCTCCACAGAGAAGGTCCAGCTCCTGAAGCCTCTGGGGAAGCTGCTGGATGGTTGGGTTCCCCGTTGGGCAGACCCTGCGGCTTCCCTGGAGTGGGAGCACTGGCCGCTGTGCCCCTTGCTGTACGGCAGCGCCGGCCTGCAGCTGTTTTCCTGCCAGCTGGTAGGCAGTTGCTGCCTGAGTTTTCCAGGGAAGGTGGGCACCTCCCTGGAGGTCCCCCCCCTTGGGGGACTGGAAACACTCTGGAAACGTGGCTTGGGGTCCCGGGAGATGGAGTCCTGGCTTAGTCTTTCTCCAGGACGTTCGCTCCGAGCTCCTCTTGTCACGTCACTTAAGAGACACTGAGAGTGAGTGAAGCGATGGGGAGCCTCGCACTTGGTCATGACCCCGATGGACTGAGAACCGGCCGTTCCCGGAGAGCGTCCCTGGCGTGCCAGCACTCACCGCCACTGGCCTGCCCGAGAGTTAAGGTCATCTGGTTGTGTTGTGTCAGCCGAGTGTTTAACTTTTTGCTTATTTAGAATTTCCCATATTATGATAACATCTCATAAACTTCCAAATATAGCTTAACACTAATTTAGACCGTAACAGGCTGCCCCAGGAACAGTGACCAGGTGTCACCTTAAGTCGTGCCAGCCTTTTTTGCAGCGCGGTGGCGGGAGGAGGCAGGAAGGAAGACGCGAAGCGAAGCAGCTGTGTGAAGGCCGATGTTCTCAGGCACACGTGCTTTCCCAGGCATCTCGGCTGGGGACAGCAGAAGAATCGGTGGGGCTGGTCTGGCTCCCCTCCGCAGGAAGGGGCACGCTGATCAAACAGCCTGATAGGGCCGGCGAGCAGCTTGGACGCTGCGTGGGTTGAATGATGGGAAGTAGGAAGGCAAGGATCAGGCCGCCTAAGGAGTAGCTGAGGAAAGTGCGTGGCAGCGTGGCTGGCCAGAATTCATAAGTCAGGCTGCTTATTAATGGCAGTCACTAAAATCAGGATGTACCTAGGCCACAGGTCACTAAATAGCGTGGCAGCACTTGTGTTTGAGAAAACCCAGGGGGTCAAGTTTCCCTGTGCTCTAAACCACTCCTGGAGTGAATTTTACGTTTGTGTTGAGGATGGTCTTGTATCTGTTTCCCTTGCGACCAAGAGGGTGCGAGTGAAGACACTTGCACTCGCGGCAAGGCTGCTGGAGCAAGCCGTCGTGGAGGGCACGGGTCCGAGAGAGCTCGCCCGGGGCAGGCCGTCGGAGAGCTGTAATTCTGGTGTGTGTGTCTAAAAGGGTTTTTCCTGTCTGTGAAGCTTGAGTCGGGATCGTTTGTGCTCGGAGGAGGCAGGTCTTACTCAACGCGTTTGGCCGTGAGCACCTTGCAGCGACTGATGCCGTCAGCGGCGCGTGGGACCTGTCCGGGGGGAAGGTGGTGTCTGAGCACGGGGGTGAGGCCAGCCCCGGGGGGAAGATTTGGTTGACCTGACGCTCAGCGCTATTTTCTTCACAGCTTGGCACTGACCTTTCCGTTTTGGTCCTCAGACTATAAGTGGCATCTTTTCTGATGTCTTGTTCTGCTAAATTCAGCTGTGGCTGGCTGGTGGTAAGTGGAGCAGTGGAAACACGGCTAGGTGCCGAAAATAGTCCTTCAGTGGTGCGTGCCTTCTGGTGAGGCTCCTCCTGTTACCTGGCCCTGTCAGCAGTCCCAGGGCCAAAATCCGGCTGTGCCGGAGGGAGGCCGGAGGCGCTCGTGCTCCCAAAGGCAGCAGGCGTTACTGTAAGGGACAAGAGCAGCGGTCGTCCCCCAGGACGATGCAGTGGATGCGGTAATCCCTCGGCAGCTCTGCAAGGGACTGAAATGGTCCCACTTTACAGGGGCTGCTTGCCTTCGTGGCTGTGCCTAGCCTGTGGTAGGACAAAATCCTTCTCAGGATTTCCAGTTCCCAGACTCCAGCTTGATCCACTGGAGCAGGGTTTTACCGTGAGCAGCTTCGTCGCTGAAAGGACGTAGCCGGTGTAGAAGCGCTTCCCCAGCCATGCAGGCTCTGTGAACGTAGCAGGAGCTACCTGAGTTTCAGGGGTGGTTTAGCCATTGCTTCAGGCTGTCCCAAGAGCCGGCTGCTACCAGAAGAGCTGGCCTGCTTCCCGGTGTGCCAGTTTCCGTGCTTGCGTGGCCAGCTAGATCAGGGCATGATCTGGGTGAAGAGCAGGGTTTTTTTTATTTGGGTCGGTGTGGGCTGGTGGGCAGGCGTGGGTGGGAGTGCTCCCCCCAGCAGCAGTGCGGGCTCCAGGTGCCATAAAGCCACGGGGAAATGGCAGCTCCAGGGGAACCCGAAAGTAAAACTGAGCAGCATGATGCCATTGTTCAGGGAAGATGTCAAGTGCCAAGTTGTAGATAATGAGCAGTGAATTACAGTTCAAAATCTGAGTGTATGATCTAGCAACACAAGGAAGGAAACTTGAACTTGACCAGAGATCTACTGCACTTCTGCTTTGCCTGTTATGCACACTGAGATAACGAGTTTGTGAGCGGTTTGCTCATGACTCCATTAAAATCGCTGCTTTTCCTTCTGCTAGGGGCAGTGCTGCCGTACAGCTGTGTTTGCGGAAGGGGCCGGGGTCTCTTCTGTGCTGCCCGTGTCCATGGAGGGCTGACACAGTGCCAGAGCGTCCCGGTGTTGCTCCCAGGCTGGCGTTACGGAGGCTGAAGTGCCGGATGGGTACCTGCTGCCTGCCCTCTAATCCCCCTCTTGTCTCTGCAGGGAGTGGGGATGGACAGGGACAGATACTCCAGCGTTTCCCGGAGAAGGACTGGGAGGACAACCCCTTTCCCCAAGGCATCGAGCTGGTGAGTGTGCCGTCCCTCGGGACCGGGACCCCAGGGAAGCGTGACCGCCGTGCGGGGCAGGTGACGCCGCGGGGGCAGGTGACGCCATGGCACTGCATGCACGCATCTCGCTGGGCGCTGCAGGGTCTGACCGGGGGAGCCCGTGAGAGAGGGGTTCCCACCTGCCCCCCAGTGCAGCTCCAGCTCTGGAAAACCACGGGATCCAGCGTGCCGCCTCCCAGCTGGGCCACAGCAGAGCTGTCCAGAGACGGTTGCTGCTGCGTGCCCTGCCTGGGGTTGGCTCCTCTCCTGGCCGCTTTGCTCCCCCTCCTCCTCTGGGATCAGCTGCTTGGGATGCTGGAACGCTTCCTAGAAGAGCCGCACGGATGCAGCGTCAGTATAAATATCTCCGTCACGAATAGCAGGGCTCTGCCATTGTCAGGCCTTTCCCAAGCGCTCCGCTGAGCAAACCGCTCCCCTCCTCGGGCCGGTGGTGTCGGCGGCGGCTCACCCTCCGGCAGGCCTGGGTGTGCTCTGTTTGCATCCGCCCATCACGGAGGGTTGCTGGGCCCTGGATCCCTTCCCTAGCCCTCCGGACACATTCGCCTGCTGTTGTGAGTCCTTTGAGGTTGCGATCATTGCTGGGTCATACCCATAAAGCGACACACCCAGTCTAATTTGGCACTGCGTGGGTTCTTCACAAACCAGCTTTTAACTAATCAAGGATAATAGGATTGTTCTCCTCGGTTGCTAAATTTGAGTGGAAGTTCTTCTCAAACCCTTCCCTGCTGCATTGGTGCTGCTGCTGAGGAGCTCTGAAGGAGGCAGCTGGTGCTCCGCTGCCAGCCAAAGCGAGCGGGTTGGGCAGCCGCTTGTCCAGACCCCTTTTCACCACTAAACTGAGCCCCCTTCTAAGCTGCTCTCCTCCTCCCCCCTGCAGTTCTTCCCAGTTTCCAGCTGAAGTACAGTGGAGTACAAAACCTGAAGACAGACAAGGCTTTAGAAGTCCCTTCAGTGCCTTACGAGCCTCATGCTGCTGGGACTATCCTGACCCCGCTCCTCGAGGCCTTGCAAGTACCTTTGCTGTGCTGGGAGGTGTCAGCACCTGTGAGGCCGCTGTGTGATGGTCGGTGCGGGGACGCCGGCCAGCCGAGAGTGCCCGTCCTCTCCTGGAGCGGAGGAGCTGGGAGCAGCCAACCCTTTCTGCCTGCGTTGGTGTGTGCAGAGGGTTTGCACTTCCCTGTTCGGACGGGCCCAGCCTGAGTCACCTGCCAGCAGGACTCGCCGAAGGGCATTTGTGCATCCCTGACGAGGGATGTTTTGGCCGAGGGAGTCCTGGGTACTTGGTGTAGCAAAGGGCGTTCCGGGTCCCTGTGCTTCCCCAGGGCTTCAGTGAATCATAGAGTAGAATCATAGAATATCTCAAGTTGGAAGGGACCCATAAGGATCATCGAGTCCAACTGAGAGTATGGCCTGGGCCTTGGGAGCTTGTTTCCTTAGAGCAGATGTGTCACGGGCATTGAGGGCACCGCATGTTGGGATCTCTGCCTTGCGCTGTCCCCGTGCAGGGTCTGGGTAGCTGAGAGGGGTGGTGGCCCAGCTGGCGTCTCGTTTCATGGCCTGCACAAGTTCCCTGTGCTATTTAATGCTCGTTTTCTGAGCGGTGGTAGGTGGTAGCCACCCCTACTTCCCTGTCTGGACTCAGTTCTGCTCTCGGCTGCCTCCCGCGCTCCGTGGCCTCGTTCAGAGCCGGCGGTCATCTCCATCTTTGTGCGTGCTGCTGCTGGAGAACTTCCACGTGAGCTGTGGCTGTTGGAGGCTGATCAGGACACTCCGTGTCATGTGCCCTCCAAAGCTCCTGTGTCAGGCTTAACCGAAAATCATGGGGCTCTGCTGGTGCTTGCAAAGGAGAGCTGCTGGCGTGCTCTTCTTACCCAGCCAGGAGCAACCAGCTTGTGGAGCGGAGGGCGTCAGAGCTGGACACGTCTCTGATACCCGTCCTCGTCCCTCTGCCCCGTCCCGGGGGCTTGGCTTTGGCAGTTAGAGCTGCAGCCGCCAAGTCGTGCCGCGTGCCCGCCAGCGAGTGTGGCCGGTCACCGGGATCAGCGGCGCTGGCCGGCTCGTCTTCCTATCGCGTGCTCACCGTAACTGCAGCGCAATTTCGGACTTTTATGTGCTATTTCGTCTGAGGCAAAATATATATATTTTTTTTCTGGTTAGTGTTTCCTGGTTGTCTGCAGGGGACTTGGGAACTGTCCCAGGAAAGAGGAAAGCTGCTTTTTTCCCAAGGGTCAAACTGTCCAGCCAAAAAATCCCTGGAATTTAAACAATTGGAGCCCCGTCCTGTTGGGAGCCAGGGGTGGCTCCAAGGCTTCCCACAAGCTGTCAGGAGGTGTCCTGGGTGAACAGCACGTAGGGCTGAAACTAAGGCAGCTTCCGAAAACCAGACGGAGCCCAGCCCGGGGGATTTTGGGTTGTACATTACATTGCAGTCACTGCTGTGTTTCTTTTTAACAGCTTTTTTGGGGAGAAGGTTTTCTGGTGTGTGTAGGGAGCAGGAATTTGTAGCTTCTGCCCTTGCGTGCTGTCTGACAGCATTTCCAAACAAAAATACCTCGTTTTAATGGATGGAAGTTCCTCTGGAGAGAGACACGGGACGTGAACGTGTCTCCTCTGTTGCAGCATCCCTCCCCGCCCAGGCCAGAGCCGTCTCCTCAGGCAGCCCTCGAGCCCACGGTGGGCAGACTGGGGGAGCAGGATCGCCAGGCCCTGGGCAACCGGGAGAACCAGGGTATTACTGCAGGTGAAACCACGGCAGGGAGCCCCTCTTCGGACTGTGACTAACAGCTCTCGCTTCCAAGGGTTACTGGTTGCAGTGCCTGCGGTGGTACCGAGCGAGGTGTGCGTTACGGGAACGGAGATTCCTGCTAAAACCGTTGGCTCTAAGTGCGTGCTGTGGTGTGCTAGACCCACTGGTTCCTTCTGCTCCGGCGAGAGTTAGTGCAATTCCTCCTCTCCCTTTCAGATGCCACCCGCAGCGCTGGTCCTTACGTCCTTCTGCGCCACAATCCCACAGGTCTGCTTAACACAGCACGGTATTCCCCGTGTCTTAAGGCCGCTCGTGGATGGTTGTCGCATACTGCAGACCGTGTCGTCGTGCCTACTGGATACGTCCAAGCCTCCGGACACCTTTCACCTCTGCCAGCACGCACTGGTACCCGAGCCAGCATGTGCCAGCGTTCCCTCCTGGCGCCTGGGCACTGGAGAGTGTTAGGGTTTCTGCTGCTCTCTGAGATAAAACAGTGAGATCCCTTTGTTTTCCAACCAGCAGGTCATCGCCTGCATGTTTGCAGCTTCAATGTCCTTGTTTGGTGAAGGCGAGCACAGGTTTGTGCGAGGTTTGCTCCCTGGCTGCCGGGAGCACTTGGGCAGAGGTGCCTGTAGGAGAACGCTGCGTCCTGGCCCTGGCCGGGGGGGCTTGGTGGGGCAGGGTCTGCAGGCTTGGGCCGGGGGTCTCCACTTCCAGGGGACGGTAAGGCGCTCTGCTGCTTGCAGAAAAGCTTCCTTTGTTGCTTTGCTTTTGTAAGGTGATGGTAGCTGAGCGGAGCCTCCTCTGGTGCGTCCATCTTGACCAACAGATCTTTTCTTCACCTCTGACGCGGAGGAACCTGAGGTTGGCAGCCGACAGCCGAGCCCACGCAGCCGGCGGCTGTTTCGGCGGCGCTCAGGAGAGAGGAGAGCTGCCGCCACGCTTGGCCGTGGGTTTGGTCAGGAGTGGAGCAGGCAGCTCCTTATCCGGTGGGGCGCTGGTGACCGGTGGCTCCACGTGTGGTCCCTCCTGCCTGGCAGCCGGCTCTGCTGCAGGGTTGCGTTGCCCTCCCGTAGCTTTCCAGGGTGGAAATAAATGATCAGGAGGATGTCTTGGGACATCATAGGCTAGATCCTTGCAAAATCAACCCTTGCAAACTTGGGAAAGGCCTGTGATGTAACCGGTGGAAGAAGAAAAGGTGGTAAAGCAGTGCTGATCCGTGCAGTGCTGTGGAAAACAAGCCTTGCCAGACAGACACACACACATGTTGTCATGAGAGGTTGGTTTTGTTGCTAAAACTGCTCTAGGCAGTGTCTGCAGAGCCCGGCACGCAGCTCTGCCTTCCTGTGGGATTTTTCTAGACAAACGAAGGGCTGTCGCTCCAGAGAGGCTTAGGTGCAGCCCAGCTGGGGCATCCACCAGCGCGGGTCTGTAGGGCAGCTGCAGTACATCCTTCAGGTCAGTCGCTTCCATCAACAACCCCTCATGTAAGAATCAAGACTTTCTTCTCTTCTGGCTGCCTGCAGCTCGCTCTTGTTCTCCGTGGGCACCCAGCAGCGCTGAGATGTGCTGTAAGGACAGACCGACGCTGCTGCAGTGCTCGCTGTGCGGAGCAGCTCCTGCACGCCCCAGCGGCCGCGTGGAGCCCTGGCAGCGTGTGCCACGTTACTGCACTGCACGGGTGGGTCGTGCGGGCGGCGGGTCGTACCGTGCCCAAGGGCAGACCACCGGGAGTGCTGGGTCTGCCCAAGTGGTGGGGGAGACAAGTGCAGGGTGAGCATCCTCCCAGCGGGGATCTGAGTTCGGGCAAGGCATGGGTGAAGAGCTCACCTCTCGCACACACAGATCCACGGAGATCTTTAGTTCTGCGTGGGGGCCTGTAGTTTTGTCTTCCTTTAACTGTGGCACCTTCAGTGTTGCAGAGAGCCACGGTACCACCATCGGTCATGGTCGCGCTGCTTCTGGAGGACACTTGTTCTAATCACCAGCCAACCTACGCCCGTCTTTCATGGAGGATGTGTGTCCTTTCTAGAGGATCTAGCTTGAAATGAGGCAATGGTTGTGGAGGTCAGATGTCTGCGTGCCTGGTGCTTTACAAACACGTGGCTGCTTTATGTTGACTTCTCTTGGATAAATCAGCCGAGGAGCATTGAGTGCAATCAAACCGGGTGCATTGAGTGCAATCAAACTGGGCTGCAAGTGGCTCCGGGGCATAGCCGGGGCATAGCCACATAGCCCAGCGGCATGGCCCGATCCACGGCGTAGCCTGCTGTGGTTTGAAGTGACCTGTGCTCTCAGCAGGTGCTATTTTTAAGAAGCTGACTTTTTATCCCATGGCTCGGGAAGAGTCCCAGAACAGCTTGGTGCTTGGAGCCCAGGTGGGTGTCAGGAGCCTCCTGCACCTCCCGTGGTGGGACCGAGGGCTCTGGTGGTCCTCGCTGAGCTTGCGCGTCGGGGGCAGAAGGTGGCGGAGCCATGCCTCGACCTGAGCAGGTGTAACCCCGAGTGAAGAGGCTGAGGTGTGTTCATGTTTGTGTCATGCCGTTGTTTCCCTGCGCCTGTTTAGCAGCGGCAGAATTGCCTCTGGAATGGGCTGAGGCTCCTAGGCACAGAAGACGGCACGACCGGGGAGTGGAGCAGAGCTTGTGCCCGCTGGTGGTGGTGATGTCGATGTCCTCCTGGGGTTCCCTTCTAGAGGAGCAGTCCGGGGGATCTGGACTTCCATTTCTCAGGCCTCTGGATGAGCACACTTGACTCCCGACATCTGGCTTGTACGTACCTGTCTCTGCAGAGGAGGTTTGACACCGTGGTCGTGGAGTGCATCCCTTTGCGGCAGTCGGGAAGTGCTGGGTGGGACCCAGCAGCAAACTCCTCGAGGGCAGCAGCTTCATGTGCTTTGCTCTTGTAATTTCTGCAACGTCCGGGAAATGTTTGCGCAGAGCGGTGAGCTACAGGTTCATTGCGGAGCCCAGTGAGGAGACGAACTCTCTTGTTGGGAGAGTGACTCTCTGTACTTACCCTGATGGCTGCTGAGCCATACCTTCCTCCTGCGCGCTGACGGGGGAGCCGGGCGGGAGGCAGCCCGGTTTGAAAATGGCACCAGAAAGGAGAGGCCTTGGGATGCAGGTTTACAGGGACGTACGTGGCAGAGTCTGGGAAGCAGCTGCACAAGTGCTTTTGCCTCATCTCCTCCCCGCTGTCATACCTGGGCAGCTGAAGAGTTCTTGCACTGCGGCTGATGCCCAGCTCTTACTGCTGCGGCTGCACCGGGCTGCCCAGGGGAGCAGAGGAGGGTTTGTGCAGCAGAGTGTGCATGCACGTGGAGCCTGAGGGTGGGCACGGAGAGCGGTGAACAGCTGGAAAACTTCACCAGGTTGAAACCAGCTTCGATTCACAAGGGTTTGGGCTGGAGCAGCTATTTCTGCAGCTTTGCAGCATGTCAGCCCTTTCTGCTAGTCTGGCCCTGTTGCCACTTTATTCTCATCCTTGGTTTTGCTCAAGTCGTCTTATCTTCAGAGCGCGTCGGGCCACGGCCCCAGAAGGAGCTGAGCTCTCCCGCTCTGGGGAGCTGTCTCAGAGAGGGCCCAAAAGTGTTGGGAATTTTCCACAGCTCCTCACCAGCCAAATGCAGATACTGAGGAAATAAAGAAAAATCCCTTGAGACTTCAAAACCCAGGGGAGTCCTGGGGCCGCTGGCTGGAATTACCCACCGGCCCTGCGACGGTGTTTGGAAAGTCCCCGGAGACCAGTAAAACTGTGTTCGGCGCTGCCTGAAGTGCGGTGTTGGCGCAGCCTGGGCCGGTGTTTTCCAGCCGCCTGCCCCGAGGGAGAAGTGCCACCTCCCGGAGCAGACGCCGGTGCCTGGAGGCAGCCCTGCCCTGCCGGGAGCTCGCCCCAGGGACGCACCGCCTTTCCTTCCCGGAGTTTGTGCGGTGCCTGTGTGCAGCCGCCCGGCACCTTGTTGGGCTGCGGGGACTTTGCAGAGCCTGGCAAGCCTCGCGGGCTCGATGCCGGCTGCAGGCACCTGCCTCGCACGGCGCAGCCCAGCTCCTCGCAGCCCCTGTGCCGGAGGAGCGCCTGTGGCTCTAAGATGGGTGCAGGGTGGTGGAGGGTGCCCAGCTCGGCCAGGGTGTCCCGTCACCCTTCCTCCCAGCTTGAGTTTCTCCAAGCGGCTCCTGCCGTCCCTGAGGAGAGGAGGGGACGGCGCCTGCCCAGTTCTCCCCCACAGAGGGGACGGGAGGCTCTGGCCAGTGCTCTCCCCGCTCCCGGACCGTGGCAGCTGCGGGGGGGGCTCCGGGCCCGTGGCGGCTGCGGGTGCTGCAGCACGTGCCGGGGAAGGTGGCACAGCCGTTTCCCTACGTACTCTATAGGTGATGTGCTGCCACCCCAAGCTCCCTGTCCCCGGGAGCCGGTACCTGGTGGTGTTGGTACCTGGTGGTTTGCTTTTGCGTCGTCCAGCCCACCGAAGCTCCAGGCTCCCGCCGCCGAAGCGATGCGGGGGAGCGGGGGGCAGCGGCGTGGGCAGGTCAGGCCCTCTGACCGCTGTCCCCTGCTCTCTCTTGCAGTTCTGCCAGCCCAGCGGCTGGCAGCTCTTCACTGAGAGGAACCCCCCCACCTTCTTTGTGGCTGTGCTGACCGACATCAACTCGGAGCGGCATTACTGCGCCTGCTTCACCTTCTGGGAGGCCGTCGAGAGTGCACAGGTACTGCGGGCTGCTGGGGTCCTGCCTGTGCAGGCAGGTTGGGAAGGGTGGTCGGCAGCACTGGCTGGGAGCAGCTGGCTGCCTTCGGCTTTGGCCAGTGGTTCCTGCTTTCCCCTTGTTGGAGGAATCTGGGCCCTGGTGTCAGAGGTTTGGGAGAGGGAAGAGCATCCTTTTTATAACCCTGGGACTTGGCTGATGTGTGTCTCCCTAGCCTCAGAGCCACCCCAGGAATGGTGAGGGGGAGGAGGAGGAAGAGGAGCCATCATCTCCCGTTCAACCCGCGCAGCTCTTTGCTCCCAAAAGCTTGGTGCTGGTGTCGCGGCTGGACCACGCGGAGGTGTTCAGGGTAAGTCCGAAATGCCGTGGCTGGAGCCGGGGGGAGCAGGGCCCCTACTCTGGGGGGAGGGGAGAGCAATGTTAGTAAAGACCTTCTGGCTCTGGGAGCGACCAGGAGCAACGTAGTCGCTGCCAGGAATGGGAGGTATAGGACCACCCTGGCACAGCAGCCCGCTCTTTGCATCCCGGTCCAGCTCCACAAGCCGGGTCAGCAGCTGCACGCTGAACCTGAATGGCTGGCAGCAGAACAGCAGACCAAGGACTCGGCCACACCGGGCAGCTGGTGGCCTTGACCCAGTTTTGTTAATAGAAAAAATGTGAAGAACAGCCCGTTCCTGTGGGAGCATTTATCTTTGCCATCTTTATTTTCTTCAAACGCGCTGCATTATGTGGCTGTAAGAGGTTTGGGAGGGCACGGGCTACAAGCTGGCGTGTTTACAAACTGCCTCCGTGCCTATTGTGTCTGCAGCTCTGCGTCCGGGGCAGGTGGGGTGTGGGCAGCCTCCTCCGGACTGAGCAGGCTGGCTGCCTTGCTGCTCCTCTTGGTCCGAAGGAGGAATCCACCTGGCATTTACGGTGGGCTCTCCGCTAGCTTGCCCAGGTGCTGGGCTTGCAGGAGGGCAGCGTTCTCCATCAGGCCAGGCTGTGTCCTTCCTTCTTCCCCTCCCACTGTGAGGATATCGCTTCTGGGTAGCTGCCCTGTTCTTGAACCTCTTGTTCACAGCCTGTTCTGTGAATGGGAGCACATGGTGTTCCCTCAGGGTGTTCAACCACAGCGTGCTCAAGGCATTGATAACTGACGGGGGGAAAAAAATCACTCTGTTCTCTGGCTTGGAGCTGCTACAAACAGCAGGAACGTCGGGCTTTGCAGACGCATGGCTCCAGACCATCTAACTGAGGTTGGAGGCACCTCTGGAGGTCTCTGGTCCAACCCCTGCTCCAGCAGGGCCAGCTGGAGCAGGTTGTCCAGGATATTGTCCAGTTGGGTTTTGAGTATCTCCAAGGATGGAGACTCTACAACTTCTCTGGGCAACCTGTGCCAGTGTTCAACCACCCTCGCAGTAAAATGGTCTGTATGCTTAGGTATTTTATAGGGAAAGTTGTCTGAGCCCAAGTCAAGCCTGTCTTGGCTGATAGGTGGTGTTAAAACAGCGACTCCTTTCCAGCGAGCGGGAGCAGTAAGCCCGAGGTAGAAGGGAGCGTATGAACAGAAATGAGCCTGGATCATCAGTCCATTTCCCTTGTTGCAAGCAGTTGTGTTGTATGGTTGTCCTCGCATCCAGGATGGGGTTTTCCACGCCTGGCCTTCCGTGGAGCTGGAATTCACTGGAACGCTGGGGCTGTTCGTTTTCTCAAGCCTGGGAGAGCAGAGCGAGGTCAGCCGGGCTGCAGCGTCTGCCGCTCTCCTGCTGGGCAAAAGCCAGTTGTGCTTGGGGGTGACTCTGGAGGAAAGTGGGTCAGCTAACTAGTTCCAAAAGACAGACGTTTTCTGTGAGAGCTTCTCCCCTGGAGACCGCACTGAAATGGTTCCTGGCTCATTTCGGTCTTTGCGTACCTGACCGCTCGTCTTCCCTGGCTGGTTTTGTTGGGAGGCCCGGTAACGTTTACATTGTGCCTTTGGCTGCCTGATTTCATTGCTTAGTTGCTTGAATTACCCACCTTAGTGGTTTCTGAGGAACAGATGAGCGACAAGAGCAGTACAGTCCTGTCGTTCTGGGCCTTGGGTCATTTCCCCCTTCACTGTGAAACAAACTCAGAAATGTCGCTGGGCGTCCCCAGAAGGTCTCTGAGCGTGGCAGCTGTGGGAGCGGGATCGCTGCTCCGCAGCAGCGAGTGCCACGCACCTCTGACCTGCCCGAGGGAAGCCGAAGCAGCCCCGCTTGCAGGCTCAGATCGTGGCAGAACAGTGGCGTGTTTGCCTGTTGAGCCGTGTTTGCCTTTCCCCTTGCTGCTCCCTGTCCCTGCCAGGACAAGGGCGATGGGTGGAAGCTCTGCCTTTGCCCTTCGGGTGAGTGGATGGATTTCACTGGCTGAATATGCAGTGCGGCCTCTTACTTCCCCAGCACAAGACTCGGGTTGTTGCGGCTCCTTCTCTTCTCTGATTAGGTCTCTGTGTAGCCCAAGACCTGGACCCGTTGGTCCTCTTGGTCAGCGTGATGCTGGACTGAGGGTCTGCCTCTTGCTCAGGGTGAGGCCAAGCTGTACACACGTTACGCCAGGAGCCTTCACTGCTGGCCAGCAGCCCTGGGGCCGTAGCTGCCGTGCCCCCTGAAGCTGGGCCAGTCTCCAACCCTTGGGAAGGGGGGCAGGGTACCCCAGATCTCCCTTCTGGCACCTGGCGAGACTGCACCTTCTCTCAGATCTCCTCCTGCTTCCTCCGTGGAGCGTCCAGCAGAGCAGCGTGTGTTCATGGACGTGCAGGAGCGTGACCTTGCTCTTCACTCGGTTATTCCAACGTGCCTGCCTGGCCCCTTCTCTCCAAAGCCCTGGTATTTGTGTTTTCTCTTTTCCTCACTGACATGGGGAGATGGTTTGAGTTAAAAAATAAAACACATCCAGAGGGTGCCTTGAAGACAGATTCCTCAAATTCCTTATTCATCTGTGTATTGTAGCTTGTGTTGAATGCTGCCCTGTGCTTGTGCCCGCTAACTCCCTCTGCGCTGGAGCTGGCGTTGCTTCCCAAATGTGCCCGGCGGGCAGACGTCAAGCAGAGCAGGGCCCAGCCAGGTGTCTCGGCCAGCCCTCGGTGGAGAAGTGGGTCTCCTTCCCATCCCTTGCTTGGGGTTTTTGTGAGACTTGATGCAAATCTGCAGGGACTGGGAGTGCTTAGGGGGTGCTGGAAAAGTCCAGCTGTTTTCAGTCACCTC